GTTTCTTAATTAGCCAGGTGAAGTGGTGTACTCCTGTAGACCCAGCTACATAGGAGGCTGAGGTGGGAGGATCACTTGAACCCAGGAGTTCAAGGCTGCAGTGAGCTATGATCACACCACTGTACTCCAGCCTAGGTAAGGCCCTGTCTCTAAAAACAAAACAAATAAAAAGCCAAGGAGTGCTGATTCAGATGCACTATAAAGGCCACCCTAGCAAGAGACAGCCACATTTATAAGTCCTGACAGGGACCTGAAATAGCAATGTGGTCACAGGAAGGGAGAACTTAGCGAGATCGGGTGGTTCATGAGGCGTCCGCTGGATGCATGACTAGTTGTTTCCTACTGGGGCTGTTAACAAATTACCACACACTGAGAGGCTGAAAACCACACCAATTTATTATCTTACAGTTCTAGAGGTCAGGAGTCCAAAATGATTTTCACCGGGCTGAAGTTGTGTCAGTGCGGCTTTGTTTCTCCACAGAGGCTCTGGGGCAGAATCCAATGCCTTTTTCAGCTCCTCCAGGGGCCACCTCACTGCCTGGCTCTGGGCCTTCTTGCCATCTTCAGAGCCAGAAGCTTCCTTGCTTCACGCGCAGACCCTCCCGACTCCCTTTCCCTTGTAAGGGCCCCCATGATTATTACTCGGGGCCCACCTCAACCACCCAGGGTCATCTCCCCACCATGAAATCCTGAACCGAAGCAGAGGCGCCAGGTCCCTTTTGCCATACAAGGTAACACTTTCCCAGGTTCTGGGGTTCAGAACCTGGACATCTTTGGTGGCTGTTATTCCACCCACCACCGTCATCAGTGAGGCACCCTAAGGAGGGGCTGTGAGGTCACGTGAGGTCGGCTTCGGAAGGGCTAGGTTTGAGTGCCTGGAGGACACCAGCAGGAGGCGCCCCTGGGCTCCACTGATTTACCATGCACTCACTCGGCACCCCTGAGAGACCATCCCTGGGGCCTACAGGTGAACCCTGTACCTCAGCCCTGACACCTGCTTTCCACTTCCGGACCTTTCTGAAATCAAGACACATCTTTAGATCAATGGCATCTTACTGCGTCACTGGCAGGCCTCTTCTTTCTTAGTGACGTTTAAAGGAAGGTATCTTACCCCTGATGGCTTCTTGGAGTGAATGAAATTCCAGTGTGAGCAGGCACTAGAGCAGGCCTCACAAGAGAGTCAGGTAACCCCACTCTGCCCTGGCCCCCAAGTCTTTCCTAGTTGCTCGTCTGGCCCTTTCTGCCCTGGGATTCCAAGTGTCCTGCAGCTCCGGTGCCCAGATCCCCGTTAACTAACGGACCCCACTAAAGTCACACACACGCTCAGCTCTACAACCACGGTGGGGTCCAGGAGCCAGCCCTCCCACTAGGGGTGCCTCGACCATGGGGGTCGGACCCAGGGACTCTCTCCCCGCCTGGCTGCAAACTGAAAATACCTGGGGGCTTCCGAAATACCCAATGCCTGGGCCACAACCTAGACCAGCTCAATCCGAATATCCAAAAAAATATTACAGCTCCCCAGGAGACTCCAAGGGGCAGCCAGAATGGAAAACTGGAAGAAACCATCTAATATGGTGCAAGGAAGGCGTAAGGCAATGCTGGTGGGGGGTGGGGGGTGGAAGGTGCCAGGACCAGGCTACAGAATTACACCTATCTCCCATGCCTCTGCCACCAGACTCTGAATTCCTGGAAGGGGACCAGCCCAGCAACCTCAGTTTCCTCAAGGCACTAGCCCTGTGCCAGGCACCTAGTGGGGCCGAGAGAATGTAGGCCGCAGGGCCTCAAAGGCCAGGCAGCAAAGGTTTTGTGCCAAGAAAGGTCTGGGAAAGGAGCCCATTGGTTCTGGGCCAGCCCTTTGATTCCTGTGACCTCCACTGAGTCACTGCCCCTCTGTGCCAGTACAATGCACGCTTGGCCCACGCTTGGCCACTGAGTTTGCATTTCACTGAAGGGCTGTGGGAACAACTGCAAGGAGAGAGGAAAGCCAGGCTAGGGAAGATACCGGCTCTCAGAACCTTAGGGATCTCGGTCTTGGACCACTCATCCCACTTCTGCCCAGCGTCTATGGAGCTTGAGAGGGTGGAGCAAGAGTAAAAGGTTTCCATGCTCACCCCCAACAGGGACCCAATGTCTTCTCCATGCCCCGGTCCTTCCAGGCCTAAAAGCTCCACTTCTGGGGCTCCATCCCCTGGTGGCTACAAGGACAAAGAATCTGACATCCTGAAAGCCAAAGACCTAAGGGGAATCAAACAACAAACCTCGGAGAGGAACACAGAGTAGCGCAGTTGGGGGTGTTTACACGGCAAGCAGAGTCCAGGCAGTGAGGCCACAGGACACCTGACAGGCACCTCCAAAGAAGATTTTCATGGGAGCAAACACTCAGGGACCAAGGCAAGTCAAAAGTGGCTGTGGAGAAGGCCCCTGGCTTCTGGCCGTCAGCACAGCCAAGGCCCCAATACACAACTAAAGACTTTTATTGGGAAAGGGAAATTGACCGAAAAATGGCCTCCAATTTCCTCACTGCCTGAGACACTTGGTGCCTCCTCCACAAAGTCCAGGAAAGAAGGACCCACCAAATTGGGCCCCCAGCAGGCTCAGGTGTAGAGGTCAAAGTCAATGCGTTTGGAATTGTAGAACTGACCACCAGGGGGGTCCAGCTTCCGGCAATAAACACCATCCGGGAAGTAGCCTTCACTCACCCAGGTCTGCAAGGAGAGGGCAGAGCTGGGGAAGGACTGACAGGAGTAGGGGAAGCAGGGACAAGCCAGAAGGAGGGAGAAAGCAGCTCACCTGCATCTGGGCACTAGTGAAGGGCCCATACAGCTCGGCATCCCCCGTGTTCTCCCACTTATATTCCCACATCACATCTACCAGACCATCTCCTGGCGACTCTGCTTCTAAAATAACAGGCAAAGCCATTTGGCCTCCAGTGTCTCACTTCCCGCCCACTGCCCCCTCCTCTGTCCTCCAAGCTTACCTCCTCTCGGGGTAGGCGTTGGGGTCTCCAGTTCCTCCTCTGCCACTTCCTCAGCAAACATGTCCAGGGAGGGTGGGGGTGTGGGATTGTGGGGTCCCAGGGTCTGACACCCCAAACCCTTTAGCCGCATAGCCAACCGTTCCCTTGTTTCCTGGTACACGCCAAGGTTGCCCCGGGCCACCATCTGGTCGGCCAACCCAGAGAGCCGGTCCAGGCGCTGAGGGGAACTGGGACGCCCAGGCCCCTTGCTGCTCCCTTTGCCTCCTCCTCGGGCCCCCAGACGCCTCAGTGCCCCAGCCACTGTCTCTCTAGGCAACAGGAGCTCCAAAAGTCCCTCCAAGAGGGCTTGGGCACTCATTGGGGTCTGGCCCAAGCTGTCTTCCTCCTCCGAGTCTGAGGCCTGGTGCTGGCCAGGTGGCCGCTCCCGGATCTTCACCTGTAATGGAAAGATGCAGTGATTTCCCACGAACTGCCATGGGAGCAGGCCTAGCATCTGCCACTCCCAGGCCCCAGCCACACCAGCCCCTGGGACGCACCCAGTCAATGTTATCCAGCCAGCTGTCTCGGATCTGAGCATCCCGGTTCAGGAAGTAGTTGCCATCAGCATCAAAGTGTCCTTCCTCCATCTCCTCCTGCAGGTTAAAGGGTGTGATCCGAACACCCCCCTCGCTGGGGAGTGTGGCTGCCTCCTGACCTGCACCAAAGACACAGGTGCCCTTTTCTAGGCATGGAAAAAAGAGACCGGAGCCTCCCTCGCTCCACACCACCAGAGGCCCCTACTTGTTTCTCCAGCAGTGTATTCTTGGGTACAGCTCACCTTCTACATCCTCTGAGGCCAGGATGTCGTATTTGCTGGACCCCCCATCATCATCATCCTCCTCATCGCTATCCAAAGAGTGTTTGCCTTTGAAGCGGCTCCCAGGACCCCCTGACCCAGCCACAGGGTCCACCAGCTGTGAGCAGGAGTCAAGTCAAGAAATGCAGGTTACTGGCTACCTCCCCAGATACTTCCGGATCTGGACCCAAATATTCCCCAAATATTTCAGGATCTCGACTACTTCCCCAAATATTTTAGGACCCACACTGAAGATGCTCCCAACCCATTCCTCAGAGAACCTGAAAAAACTAGGCTTTTCTCTGCCTGCCTGCCCCGCCCCACTCCCGCCAGCTTTCTTTCTCCTCAGGCTTCTAGCTCCTCTCTTTCCCCTACACAAAGGAGTCTGGCCCCCTCACCTTCTTCTTGGGGACACTGATTTCATCCTCATCTTCCTCATCTCCCACGCCTTGGAAGGTCACTTTCCTCTTTGGCATGACGGGGCAGAGAGGTGTTTCTCAAGCTGAGAAAAGGATGCAGAGAAAGAGAATGGGGTGAGGAGGGGACTCGCCACCAGAGGACCCAGCACAGCAAATATTTTTCCTGGTCTGTGACAGGTACAGTTTGGGAGCGGAGGGAGCACAAAAGCAAGGGCTGAAAAGAAGCTGGCAGCCAGGAGGCCTGCAGGACTTGGGTCTAGCATCCGCGAGTTAAATGGGGTGGGGACGGAGGAGCGGACCCTCTGGATCCCCTGACCCTGGCCAACAGGGGACAGGCTTCACCACGTGACCGCTCCCAACTCCAGCCCCCGCAGTCTGGGCGCCACTGGCTCGACCGGCTGACCCCCGCCTCCTACTCTGGCTCTCTCGGAGCTCGCGGGGCCCGGGCAGACCCAGGACCTGGGGCTCTCGCCACCCCGTTCCTCCCTGCTCCGAACTCCCAATTCCGTGTGGTGAGCCCCAACTGTCCCGGGCTGTGTACAAATTAGAGGGCCACCGGGATCTGGGCTATCCCACCCTCGCGCGCTCACCTGGGACTCCGCGGGAGGCGAGGTGGCGAAAAGAAGAGAAGCTTGCGCCAAGGCTACATCCGGGGCACCCGGCCGCCATCACCCGGAAGAGGACTGTGGAAGGCGCCCGGGAAGCCCGGAAGTGGCTTCACTCAGGTTAGGGAACTAACTGGAAGAGCGGGCGGAAGTACGCGGTGAGCGAGGGAAGACGCCTCCACCCTCTCTCCCGCAAGAAGTGACGTCAGTCGCGTGGGAGGACAATGGCGAGAAGAGGGGACCTGAGAATGCCTACACTCTGACCGGGGGTGAGAAATGGCCGGAAGTACCTTCGATTCCCTCATTCAAGCAGTAGAGGCTCTGGAGAAAAACGAGAGCATCTACTTAAAGGGTCGCCCAGGGTCAGGATGGAGGGGCAAAGTCCGAGCAGGGCCAGTGGGTCGCTGCCCCGTTTTCCTGTCCTGGGTTCGAGTCACCCTTCCCCCAGGGCTGAGGGCTCAGCGCCCCTACCGTCTCGTTAGAAATCCTGCCTTCCCACTCCTATGGTCCAGTGGTAAGCTCTCCTAGTCTGAGAGGTGGAGCCTTGCCCTCCCCGAGGGGAAGCCTGGCTCTCCCGATGGCCAGCCTGGGGCCCCTGGACGGCTCTCGGGGCACTTTCTGGACACAGCTCCCTTTAGGACCCAGGGGAAGTTATTTGTCCCACGCCCATACCCTGGGCGAGTTCCTGGCTTCTGAGGTGGGAGAGCCATCACTGGAGAGGTGGCATTGGCACCAGTACCCAGGCCAGAAGTCCCTTGTGCCCTGCTCTCAGATAAGCCTGGAAAAGGGCAACAGTGCCTCTCTGTAGCATGAAGCCCCTCTGAGCAAACAGGGCCTAGCAACTCGTGCCCAGGTAACAGAATGTGGCCCAAGCAGAAGCGGGACTGGGGGAGGTGGCGGGGGTCAGCCCCTGTACTGGAACCTCTAGCTCTTGAGGACACTCGGAGCCTGCATCCCCCTAAGCCAAGACCGCCCAGGCGGCACCTGCTGGAGCCAGACGAGGACAGTGTGAGAGTTCCCCTAGTCTTCCCCAAGGCAACTAGATGGGCCACTTCTCTCTCCCTAGGGATTTCCTCCCATATTGGATCACGATAGAACTGCACAGAAAGTCCATGCTCAGTTTCTTCCATGGTTACAGAACACAGGCCCCAGACCAGGAAGGCATCTTGCTAAAGAAGGGGACCCGAAACCTCAGCTACCAGTGCCCATGGTTCATCCTCCAAGGAAACCTCTTCTACCTAGAACACCAGACCCATCATGCACCCCTGGGCCTCATCCCGTTGGAGAACTGCCAGGTGGAGCTACACCTTAAGAACCCTATGCCTTTACCATCCTGACTCCTGGGGTGGGCAGGCCTACAAGCTGGCTGCAGAAACCCAGGAAAACCTGGAGACTTGGCTGTGGGCACTGGCTGGTGTAAGCTGGAGGTGGCTGGCTGGGCTGCTGCCCCCACTCAAGACCTAATACCGGGAGCTGTGCCAGGCAGCTGGCCAAGAACCCATCTCATGCCCAGAGGACAGTGGCTTTCTAGCCACCATGAGGGCCCACTCCAGCTTCCAGGAGTTGCATGAGCACTTTGGGAAGCAGATCTGGGTGCTGCAGGTGGTACCTAGAGAGCTCCAGGCAGCCAGTGACAATGGAGACAGCACATCCCAGGCAAAGCTGGAGTAGGAGCTCAACCAGTGTCTGATGAGTGACTTGAGAGATGTACCCAAAGCCAAGAGATACCTACTTGCCAAGGCAGCAGACTGTTTTAACAGAGAGCCAGGTCCTGGCTGTCTCTCCCTTCCCTCCCTCATCCTTACCCCACCCCAACCCCCATCAAGTAACAAGGCAGGAGACAGACTCAGGTACAACAGCTGGTTCTTTTCTGATTCCTCAAAGCGCTGCATGGGGTGGGGGCAGAGACAGAAGAGAATGTAAACATTGGGTTCCACCCCCTGGAGCTCAAGGGAAGACCCTTACCCAGATAGGGACTAACTGGAGGGGTGGAAGGGAACAAGGTGAAAGGTAGGGGTCCTGGTGAGACAAAGCAGGGGGGCCTGAGAACACAGAGCAAGGTGGGTTTGGAGGGTGCACAGCAGGGTGCGGGAAGGGATATGGGGGACATTTCCTATTCCAGTGCATGCCCCCTTAAATAAACTGGGTACAGGAGCATTATGGAAGGAGAACCAAAGGACAGAAGACAAAAGCGAGCATCCCCACCCCAGGCCAACCCCATCCTCTGTACATAATTACAACACAGAAAGGTCCAGAAGGAGAGCCCTGGCCAGGAATTGGAGACAGGGAGGGCTGAAGACAGGGAAAAGGAAGCCAGCTCCACCTCATGGTAAGGGGAGCCATGGAGTGTAAGAATTTGAAACTGCTGACTCCCATCACCAGGAGTCACCCCTGGGATGACAACGGGCCAATCAGGACAGCACCTAGTAGGGGACCCAGAGGGAACTGGGGCAGGAGCGACAAAGACCCCAGCTGAGCCTCATGGGAGATGAGAGGCTCCAGACTCGTTTGCAGCTGCCCATCTGTCCTGCCCGTGTAGGGATCAGCAGCTGGTGAGGAGACAGGGAACCAAGCCACTTTCCCCAGTGAGGGACAGCCTGCCGAGGGGCTAGGGGGTGGCACCTCGGGCCAGGCCTGCTCTTGGCTGAGGGAAAGAAGGGGGCCATGCAGTCCAGCCCCAGGGCAGAGGTCAGAAGTAAGCGTCCTGCCGGGCCTCGGCTGCTGAGGGCCTGTCCCCACCATCGTGGGGGCCTGGGGGCCCATCTGCCTTTCGACGAAGCGAAAGCTTCCGGCCTTGAGCCTTCTTCTCCTGCTTCTGCCGCTCCTTCTCCTGCTTCTCCCGCTCCTTCTCCTGCTTCTCCCGCTCCTTCTCCTGTTTCTCCCGCTCTTTCTCCTGCTTCTGCCGCTCCTTCTCCCGCTCCTTCTCCTGCTTCTGCCGCTCCTTCTCCCGCTCCTTCTCCTGTTTCTGCCGCTCCTTCTCCTGCTTCCTGGTCTCCTTGCTGGAACCCAATGGGGTGCTGTTGCCAGTGGGTGAGGGAAGGGATGGATGCAGTCCCTCAGCAGTGACCACAGGCCCTGGGGCAGGCCCAGCACTGGCCCTGCGGACGGGAGGCGGTGGGGAGGGAGCCCCTCCAGCTGCCCTGGAGCCTCGGCTCTTGAGACCAGGGAGGCTGAGGAGGCTGGAGGAGGGGCCCAGGGGTGGCTGTTGCCGCCGGCGCTCCTCATGGATGGCCCGGGAGCCATGCAGTCGCCGTGAGGGCCGATATTGCAGCTCCCCGCGTGTTTCCCGCCACTTCTTGAGCTGGGCTGCATTCTCCCTCTCAATCAGTGCTTCTGTCACTGGCAGATTGGTCACCTGGACAGAGAGGAAGTGCATACCAGAATGGAGCTGAGGGTGGGAGCGGGCTGATGCAGGCAGGGGCTGTGCTGAGGGTGCAGGCCTACCTCATGCACCAGGAAGTCCTCCTGCATGCACTGCTGGGGCAGGTTACGCAGCTGCTCCATGGTCTCATACATGCCTTGGCAGGAGCGCAGCTTCTCCACCGAGCCCAGCGTGTGGCGCAGCAGGACCAGGGCCACCCGGAAGATGATCTTAACGCCTGCAGGGGTGAAGAGTAGAGAGCACAGGGTGGTCAGACCCAGGATCTCAGCCTGTCCTGATTAGGATGGACTCACAGCCCTCATCCCCATCTACTGCCAATCTCAGATGAGGAAACTGAGGCCCCATGAAAGGAAATGAGCTGCTATCAGTCTCAGGATCTTGGCAGGGAGAGCAGGCTCTAGGTTGGTGGCAGAACCAAAATCAGGCCTGTTTCTCCAGCCCCCAGCTGCTTATGGTGAAACCTCCACCCACAAGTACCTTTTGTCCAGGGACCACCAGAAATATGACAAAACCCCTGGTAGCCACCATAGCCCCTCATGGCCTGGAGGACCACAGAAGTACCTTCACAGAAAAACATGTCCCAGACACGCAGCACCGATGCCCAGGGCAAGGTACGGGCGAAGATGCACATGAACCACTCCGTCATGTAGAGCACAGGGTCGATGCGCTGCCGCCGCAGGTGGCGATGCGCCAGCGGAGAGGCCCGGCGCAGGAGCGCAAAAAAGATCTCCCCATCCAGCTGAATGGCCTCCTACAGGTGGGACAAGTCATGAGAAGAGGGCTAAGTCAGCTGTGCCCCCATCAGGGGAGAACTGGCAGGCCCTGTGGGCAGAGGCTGAGAAGGCCAGGGTGGGGCAAGGCAAGGACCTCCCTGCAGCCTGGAGGAAATGCCACAGCCCTGGATGCACCCAGCCTTCAGACACTCACCAGCCCTGCACTGTAGTAACCTGGCAGGTACTTGTCGCAGATCTGCACCAGGCACCAAAAGGCTTGCTGAGAAGAGCAAGAACAAGGAGGAGGGGTGGGGCCTGAGAAGCAGGGAGCAGGGAGCTCCCCCATCACCACTGCAGGCTGAGATCCCCCCTGCCCCTCCCGGCCCAGAACCAGGGCGCTGACCTCCGCAGGCATGTGCATGAGCAGGACCGCGGCCACGGGGGCCTGGGCCTGGCAGTAACCCTCGTCAGGCCGGTAGATGGTGTAGGCCTTCAGGATTCGGTACAGGTCCTGTTGCCTGTGGGGGTTGGGGAAGACCATGAGGGCAGTCACAGGGGCCAAGAGCTCTATTCCCAAGCCCAGTTCCAGATTCATCCCAGAGCTTTACTACCAGGACCTTCCATCCACCTGTCCAGTCCTGCTGAGCAAGCTTCAGCTAAAGGCTCAACCCACAGCAGAGCACTCCAGGCCCCAGGGCTCCGCCTTTGGCTACACACTCCACATGCTCCCTGCCATCCCAGCACAGGCTGCACCCTCACCCTCCTTCCTCTGCCACATCCCAGAAACCTTCCAGGTCATTTTCTCCAGGAAGCTTTCCACAGCCGCAGCATCAGCCCTGCTCTAGCACTGAATGTCTTTGTTACCGCAAAGCAGGAGCTCCCCAGAGCAGGGCCTGCCTTATGGATCTCACTGGATTTCATGGTTCTTGGGGAAGGCTTGGAAGCCAGCTGTGCCTCAGCCCTTTCTCTTATCTCTGCATACAAAAGAATAAAATCTGCACCCTAGACCTGCTCCTCTTGAGGGTGCCCCACTGCCATGTCCAGGACTTCCATTCACTCAGCCCCACATCAGAAAAGAGCCTCTTCCTCCAAGCCTAAGCAGCACTGCACTCTGAATTCCACTCCTGCCTGCTCTCCACCTCCACAGCCATTCGCAGCTCAGACTTCCATTTCTTGCCCAGAAAAAATGACCTCCCAAATCCTCTCCCTGCCTCCAGTCTCACACATCCTCCTCCTGACCAGTGCTCAGAATAGCTTTTCCCAAAACTCCAGGCATTCAAGTGTGATCTTCATTTGTATTTTATCTGCATACCACCCTACTATTATTTACTTGACATTTTTTCTCCACTTTGCAAAAGCATCCACGAAATGACAGGTTTGATAATGGTTATTTTACCTAATGCATATTAAAATAAATATGTAACTTCCACAAGCACCCACGCCCATCACCCACCTGCCTGCTTCTGTGTCCCTGCCTTCTCCCTGTTGCTATGGGTGAAGAGTCTGTGATCCTGGCAAGCACTTCCTTTCCACTTGGGCCCAGGATCCCATCCCCTCTCGCCTGTACAGGCCACCACTCCAACAGCCCTCCCCTTGCTCCTGCACTATCAATTTCTCTCTCCACTACACCATTCCCACAAGCATACCTATGTGCTGTTATTTCTTTGAGCTTAAAAAAAAAAAAAAAAAAGGTCTCTTCGCCAGGCGCAGTAGCTCAGGCCTGTAATCCCAGCACTTTGGGAGGCCAAGGTGGGTGGATCACCTGAGGTCAGGAGTTTGAGACCAGCCTAGCCAACATGGCGAAACCCCATCTCTACTAAAAATACAAAAATTAGCCAGGTGTGGTGGCGGGCACCTGTGATCCCAGGTACTTGGGAGGCTGAGGTGGGAGAATCACTTGAATCCAGGAATCTGGGAGGCAGAGGTTGCAGTGAGCCAAGATCACACCACTGCACTCCAGCCTGGGTGACAGAGCAAGACTGTCTCAAAACAAAATAAAACCAAAAAAAACAAGTCTCTTTACCCCTCTCTTCTCTCCAAATACCACACTGTTTCTTTCCCTACCTATAAATTCACTGTCTTCAATCTCTTTCCTCCCATTCTCCAGTCAGGGTTTCACCCACTGCTCCACACAAAACTGTTTTTGTTTGGAGACAAGAGTTTCACTCCCCTTGCCCAGGCTAGAGTACAATGGCGTGATTTTGGCTCACTGCAACCTCTTTCTCCCAGGTTTAAGCAATTCTCCTGCCTCAGCCTCCCGACCACGCCCGGCTAATTTTGTATTTTTAGTAGAGATGGGGTTTCTCCATGCTGGTCTCAAAAAACTCCTGACCTCAGGTGATCCGCCTGCCTCAGCCTCCTGAAGTGCTGGGATTACAGGTGTGAGCCACCACGCCCGGCCACAGAACTATTTTTTTTTTTCTTTGAGACAGAGTTTTGCTCTTGTTGCCCAGGCTGGAGTGCAATGGCACGATCTCGGCTCACTGCAACCTGCCTCAGCCTCCCGAGTAACTGGGATTACAGGCACCTGCCACCACACCCAGCTAATTTTTTTTTTTTTTTGAGATGGAGTCTCCTCTATTGCCCAGGCTGGAGTACAATGGTGCCGTCTCAGCTCACTGCAAGCTCCGCCTCCCAGGTTCACACCCTTCTCCTGCCTCAGCCTCCTGAGTAGCTGGGACTACAGGAGCCCACCACCACACCTGGCTAATTTCTTGTATTTTTTTTTTAGTAGAGATGGGGTTTCACTGTGTTAGCCAGGATGGTCTCAAACTTCTAACCTCATGAGCCGCCCCCGCCTCTGCCTCCCAAAGTGATGGGATTACAGGCATGAGCCACTGTGCCTGGCCTTTTTAAAATATTTTTAGTAGAGACGGGGTTTCACCATGTTGGCCAGGCTGGTCTTGAACTCTCGACCTCAGGTGATCAGGTCACCGCGCCCAGCCACAAGACTGTTTTTAACATGGTCACTATTGACTTCTCCAGTGTGCAATCCAGAGGTCAGTTTTCAGGCTGGACTTTATTGGACCCTTCAGCAGCATTTCACACAGCTGACCCTTGAAACCCCGCTTCACTTTGCTCCCAATCACACGCTCCTGGTCCTCCTCCTACCTCTAGCTTCTCATTCCAGTCTCCTTTACCAGCTCTTTCTCATCTTTCCATTCTCAAAATATTGGAGCTGCAGGGCTCAATCGCTGGATGTTGCGCATCGATTCCTTTTGTGTCTACATTTGTTGCCTTGGTGACTTCATCCAGTCTCCTGGGTAAGATTTAGTCCCTCTATAAGTTGACGACTCTTAATTTCCAATTTATCTCCAGTTTAAACGTCTGCCCTGAAATCCAGGTTTGTGTATATTGTACACTGAACTTACATCTCCATCTAGAGGTCCAATAAGCATTTTAAATTTAATGTTCCCTGCTGGGCACGGAGACTCACACCTGTAATTCCAGCACTTTGGGAGGCCGAGGTAAGCAGATCACTTGAGGTCAGGAGTTCGAGACCAGCCTGGCCAACATGGTGAAACCCTGTCTCTACTAAAAATACAAAACTTAGCTGGGCATGGTGGCGGGCACCTGTAATTCCAGCTACTCAGGAGGCTGAGGCAGGAGAATTGCTTGAACCCGGAAGGCGGAGGTTGCAGTGACCTGAAGTGGCGCCACTGCATTCCAGCCTGGGCAATGGAGCGAGACTCTGTCTCAAAAAATAAAAATAAAAAATAAACGTTCCAAAACTGAGCTCCTGATATGCCCCCCACAGCTACCTTTACCCCATCTATATTAGTAAACAGCAACTCCATTCTTCTCATTTCTCAGGCCAAAAACCCTACTCCCCTCTCTCCCCTCACACTCCATTGGCAAATCCCTTTGACTCGATCTTCAAAATATATCCAGAATCCAACCACTTCTCTCCATACTCCCGCTGCTACCATGCTGGTCTAGCTCTCACCCCCTCTGGATTACAGGAAGTCTCCTAACTGGTTCGTTTCCGTCCTTGTCTCCCTATAGTCTGTTCTCAGCATGGTAGCCAGAATGACCCTTTTAAAACATAAGTGGGATCAAGTCATTTATAACCCCATCCCCACTCACATTCTCTATTTCCCTCTTGCTTTAAAGTGCTCTTTAGGCCCAGGCACAGTGGCTCACGCCTGTAATCCCAGCACTTAAGGAAGATGAGGCGGGCAGATCACTTGAGCCCAGGAGTTCAAGACCAGCCTGGGCAACATGATGAAAACCCATCCTATCAAAAAACAAATAAAAGTAAAAATAAAAATAACCTCCTAATGCTTACCATCATTTCACATACAACATACGTTCCTTTCCCTGATTTATTGTTTGTCTCCACTAAAATATAAACACCATGAGAGGAGTTTTTCGTTTTTTGTTCACTGCAATCATTTGTGACTAGACAGTGCCTGGAAGATGGCAGATGCTAAATAAATATTTGCTAAAGGATGAATTATTGATTAAAAAAATTGTCTGTCCCAGCACTTTGGGAGGCCGAGACGGGCGGATCACGAGGTCAGGAGATCAAGACCATCCTGGCTAACATGGTGAAACCCCGTCTCTACTAAAATATAAAAAAAATTAGCCAGGCGTGGTGGCAGGCGCCTGTAGTCCCAGCTACTTGGGAGGCTGAAGCAGGAGAATGGCGTGAAACCGGGAGGCAGAGCTTGCAGTGAGCTGAGATCCGGCCACTGCACTCCAGCCTGGGTGACAGAGCGAGACTCCGTCTCAAAACAAAAAACAAACAAACAAACAAACAAAATTGTCTGGCCGACCATGGTGGCTCATGTCTATAATCCTAGCACTTTGGGAGGCCGAGGCAGGTAGATCACCAAAGGTCAGGGGTTCGAGACCAGCCTGGCCAACATGGTGAAACCCCATCTCTACTAAAAATACAAAAATTAACCGGGCATGATGGCAGGCACCTGTAATCCCAGCTACTTCGGAGGCTGAGGCAGGAGAATCACCTGAATCCAGGAGGCAGAGGTTGCGGTGAGTCGAGATCGTGCCGCTGTACTCCAGCCTCGGCGACAAGAGCAAAGCTCCATCTCAAATCAACAGATCGAAAAAAAAGGAAAATTCCATCTGGCCTGGCTCACACCTGTAATCCCAGCACTTTGAGAGGCCAAGGCGGGCATATCACTTGAGGTTGGGAGTTCAAGACCAGCCTGGCCAACATTGTGAAACCCCGTCTCTGCTAAAAACACAAAAATGAGCCAGGCATGATAGTGTGCACCTATAATCCCAGCTACTCAGGAGGCTGAGGCATGAGAATTGCTTGAACCTGGGAGGCAGAGGTTGCAGTGAGCCAAGATCGAACCACTGCACTCCAGCCTGGGCAACAAAGGAAGACTCTAGGCTGGGCGCAGTGGCTCACGCCTGTAATCCCAGCACTTTGGGAGGCCAAGGCGGGCGGATCACAAGGTCAGGAGATCGAGACCACGGTGAAACCCCGTCTCTACTAAAAATACAAAAAATTATCCGGGCATGGTGGCGGGCACCTGTAGTCCCAGCTACTCAGGAGGCTGAGGCAGGAGAATGGCGTGAACCCGGGAGGCGGAGCTTGCAGTGAGCCGAGATCGAGCCACTGCACTCCAGCCTGGGCGACAGCGCGAGACTCCATCTCAAAAAAAAAAAAAAAAAAAAAAAAACACAAAGGAAGACTCCATCTCAAAAAAAAAAAAAAAACGTTCATCCGAGAACTCCCTAAGATCACCTTGCATACTCCTAGGGAACAGTATATATTGACATCTGGAGGAAGCTTGGTCTATAGAACAAAATTCCAAATGCCTTGGCATAGCATTTAAGGGTCCCTGGTGATCTTTTCCATAACCCCCAGGCAGGAAAACCCTGCTCCACTGCTATAGCTCCCACCTCTCCAAAACCCAGCCCAAATGCAAGCTCTTCAAGGAGCCCGTGATGTGCCCCCACACACAACCCGAGTCGAGTCTCCTTCCCGAGACAGTTCCTTTGACATGGCTTGACACTTAGTCCATTACAGATCTCTCTTCTACAAGTCCTGGAGGGCAAAAACCACTTTCAATTCAGTCTTGTATCCACCTAGATAAAAGGTGGATCCTCCAGCCAATGTTTGCTGACTGATCCCCATGGTCTGGCCACCTTACCCATGCCCCCCTCGAGCAGCAAACATCTCGTGGAAAGGGAACTGGCGGTGCAGGTCCTTCTCAATCACATCCAGCCACTTGGGGTCCCCAGGAGCCCGTTCCAGCTCCTGCAGTGGGACAGCGGGGATTACCTCAGGATCTGGGGGAACTGATACCCCTTGCACAGACAGGGCCACGTGTCCCCAAACCCTGGAGCTGCACGCACCTCAAACTTTCCTGGGTTCTGCTCCAGAAGTTCCTTGCTATTAGACAGGTACTGCCAGGCCTTGGCTCTGAGAGATGAGGGGATCCCCTTCCGGCAGCGCAGCTTCACCTAAGGCAAAGTGGCAGGAGGGGGACAGCTTCAAGGGCCGGCACAGCCTCCAAGCTTTCCCTAGCAGTCCACAGGCTCCCTGGATACTCCCCCCACATCCCATAGGCTTGATTCCACTGGACCTGGCCTGGCCTTCAATTTTTAAAGCCATTCCCCTGCCAGGGCCCATCTATCCCTAGTGTGGTCTAGAGAGCAGATATTATCAGCTTCCTGGGCTTCCCTGGAGCACACGCCGCCCCTCCCAACTTGCGCATTGCCCTGCCCACCATTCAGCCCTCAAACCTTCTGGAATCGCCGTGACAGCCACTTATCCCAGTTACTGAACATGTCCAGCCATTTGAGCTCCCGCTGCCGAGCCACGTCCACGGGAATGGAGCTCTCTCTGCAGGGTGCGGGGAGCACAGAAGGGGTCAGTAGCAATAGTGTAAAACCTGCATTGCAGGTGGAACTGAGGCGAGCCACCTCCCCAAGTTCAAACGAGAAACTGGATAGTCTGTGAGCTACCAAACATCAGGATGTCTGGCCACTTGGTCATCCCAAGGCACATTGAAAGGGCTTCCTTCCCTGATGGATCTCTATTCAGAGGTCATGTTTAAATCTCACTTCTGACACATCCAAATCTGGGGAGAGAGTATGGAGTATTTTGTTTGTTTGTTTGTTTGTTTTTTAGACGGAGTCTCGCTCTGTCGCCCAGGCTGGAGTGCAGTGGCTGGATCTCAGCTCACTGCAAGCTCCGCCTCCTGGGTTTACGCCATTCTCCTGCTTCAGCCTCCCGAGTAGCTGTGACTACAGGCACCCGCCACCTCGCCTGGCTAGTTTTTTGTATTTTTTAGTAGAGACGGGGTTTCACCATGTTAGCCAGGATGGTCTCGATCTCCTAACCTCGTGATCCGCCCATCTCGGCCTCCGAAAGTGCTGGGATGAGTATGGAGTATTTTAAAGCCACATTTTGCATTAGATCTGGATCCAAGTCCTAGCTTTATCATTTATTCATCGTGTGACCTTGAGCAAATCACTTAATTTTGCTAAGCCTCAATTTCCTCATCTGTAAGGTGCAGAGAATAACAATACCTACCTGAAGGGGTCTGTTGAGAGTTTATACAAAATAACACACAGCAAGGTGCCCATTAAGTAATACTATCCATAAAATAAAATACTCTAGAGGGCCAGGCATGGTAGCTTATGTCTGTAATCCCAGCATTTTGGGAAGCAGAGGCAGGAGGATCACTTGAGGCCAGGAATTCAAAGCCAGCCTGGGCAACATAATGTGATTCTGTCTCTACAAAAAATAAAAATAAAATAATAAAATAGGCCGGGCATGGTGGCTGTCGCCTCTAATCCCAGCACTTTGGGAGGCCGAGGCAGGCGGATGATTTGAGGTCAGGAGTTCGAGACCAGCTTGGACAACATGGTAAAACCGTGTCTCTACTAAAAAATGCAAAAATTAGCCAGGCATGGTGGCATGTGCTTGAAATCCCAGCTATTCGCGAGGCTGAGGCACGAGAATGGCTTGAACCCAGGAGGCAGAGGATGCAAGCCAAAATTGTGCCACTGCACTCCAGCCTGGACAACAGAGCAAGACTCCATCTCAAAAAATAATAATGAAAAAAAAAAATACAGACCAAATGTACTTCTGTCTCCTTAGACACTACCATCTGAGTTTTGTCCTATCAAACTTTTGTGATACCTTGGGTCACCTGCAATTTACTCTACTCCTCCTCCCTGAAATCATCCCAGGCAAATAAAGGTCTCCCTGCCCTATTTACCCACTGTTCTGTCAGAGCTTCATACTTATGGTGCCCCAACATTCTTCAGTTACTTGTAGGAGTCAGTACTAGGAGGTGAGTGGAACAGAAGAAAGCTTGGGTCTTAAGAATCAAACCCACCAGGCCGGGAACGGTGGCTCAAGCCTGTAATCCCAGCACTTTGGGAGGCTGAGACGGGCGGATCACAAGGTCAGGAGATCGAGACCATCCTGGCTAATACAGTGAAACCCCGTCTCTACTAAAAAATACAAAAAACTAGCCGGGCGAAGTAGTGGGCGCCTGTAGTCCCAGCTACTCGGGAGGCTGAGGCAGGAGAATGGCGTAAACCCGGGAGGCGGAGCTTGCAGTGAGCTGAGATCCGGCCACTGCACTCCAGCCTGGGTGACAGAGCGAGACTCCGTCTCAAAAAAATAAATAAATAAATAAAAATTTTAAAAAAGAATCAAACCCACCTAACTTCAAATTTCAGTTTCGTCTCTGAGACCCTGGGGAGCCTTGGCAAGGGATGACCTGAGTCCCTTCCTCAATTATAAAAAGATACCACTGGGCCAGGCGCGGTGGCTCATGCCTGTAATCCCAGCACTTTGGGAGGCCGAGGTGGGAGGATCACCTGAGGCTTGGCCAACATGGTGAAACCCTGTCTCTACTAAAAATACAAAATTAGTCGGGTGTGGTGGCACATGCCTTCAATCCCAGATACTAGGGAGGCTGAGGCAGGAGAATCGCTTGAACCTGGGAAGTGGAGGTTGCAGTAAGCCGAGACCGTGCCATTGCACTCCAGCCTGGGCAACAAGACCGAAACTCCGTCTCAAAAGAAAAAAATAAAAAAATTTAGGCCGGGCGCGGTGGCTCAAGCCTGTAATCCCAGCACTTTGGGAGGCCGAGATGGGCGGATCACGAGGTCAGGAGATCGAAACCATCCTGGCTAACCCGGTGAAACCCCGTCTCTACTAAAAAATACAAAAAACTAGCCGGGCGAGGTGGCGGGCGCCTGTAGTCCCAGCTACTTGGGAGGCTGAGGCAGGAGAATGGCGAGAACCCGGGAGGCGGAGCTTGCAGTGAGCTGAGATCTGGCCACTGCACTCCAGCCTGGGCGACAGAGCGAGACTCCGTCTCAAAAAAATAAAAATAAAAAATAAAAAAAAATAAAAAATAAAAAAATTTAAAAAGACACCACCACCTACATCACAAAGTTATGAGAACACTATTGAGAAACTGCATATAAACAATTGTTAAATAGAAGGGGCTCGTTAAATGTTAGTTTCCTTTGTTCTAGAAGCTCCTTAAACAGAGAAACCATCTCTCATTAATTTCTATCATAAGTCAGTTCCAAACTCTACCAAGGGCTGGTAAGAGTAAGATACCTTCTGGCCCTCAAGGAGGTTACAGCCTAAGAGGAGCGAAAACTGTAATACGGTATGGGAAATGCAATGACAAAGATGCACCAAAGAGGCATCTAATTGGAGTGGGGGCAGTGGGTATCAGGGAAGGCTTCCTGGAGGAGGGGACATCTGAGGTAAGCCATGAAGAAATGAGTAGAACTTAGCAGGCAAAGAAGGGGGAGAAGAACACTCCTGTCAGGTGCACAGCCTGAATATGAAGGGGAAAGGACTACAACTAGTTCAGCAGAACCATAGCGCAAAGCACCCAGTGAGGAGTGGTGGCAGAGGTGACCAGAGAGGCTGTGCGCGGGCCAAAGAGCCTGGACTTCATCCTGTGGACAGCAGCGAGCCACTGAACGCTGAGAAAGTGATGTCAATTACAGTCAGTCTTGCCCCAGAGGTAGAGTTCTCTGGCAGAGAAGCTGATCTTAGAGAAACAAAGCTACAAAGCAGAGAAACAGCACCCGGCACAGTGCCTGGCACACAAGAGGGACTCCCTCAAACTGAATTCAGCCCGAGTTCCTCAGGACAGCCTGCTATTGAGGAGAGAGCCACTGGTCACACAGATCCAGATTATTTGAGGGGGACAATTCACTCAACTGCACTAATTCTGTTTCTTCATCTATAAACCAAGGCCTGGTGCCTGGAAAGCACCAGGGTCAAACTTCAGTTGCTTTCCCGTGTAAGACCCTGCATGTTGGTACCCAATCAAAGGCTTTCTGATTTTGGTTGGCTCATGAACCCTGCCTGGAAAACCTTCCCACAGGGCTTTCCCCTGTCCCTGCACACATAGCCAAGACTAAATCCTACTTACTTTCCACGATTCAGAGCAGGTTCAGCTGACTCCCTGCCTGTGTGCACTCAGGAAACCCTCTGGGGATCTCTAGGCTAAACCTGAGGTCTTCTATTGAAACCAACTGTTTAAGTACTTGTCTTTCTCTCCAGACGACTGACTCCTTAAAAGGACTATTTATCCTTAGCACCTGGGGCCTGACACCTGAGGGCCAAGGCGATGCCGTAGGCTGACTGGCCCAGCAGGTCAAATGGGCACAGGAACAACAGGCAGGATCCAGAGAGGGGGAAGGAAGAAGTCAGAGGCAATCACCCCCTACCTCGGGAGTGACTCAGGCCCGGGAGGGAACTAGGAAAGAGTAAGCCCGGCTGGGGAGATGAGGAAATGGGGAAGAGGCCTCTCCCACCCCCTTTACTTCAGTGCAGATACAAGACTGCCCTGTTTCACAGCAAGGTCCTGACTGCACCGTCTCCCTTCCATCAGGCAGACTTCCCCACCTCTCTACTCCATCCCTGGGACCTAGGGCTATGGGGGAAAGGAGATGCCTGCACCCCTCCCAGGCTCTCTACCCCTAAGGGACCAAGGGTCTCTACCAGAACCCTCGCCCAACCAATCCTCCAGAATATCCGGCCTGTAGCGGGAGTTCCCCATCGAAGAGCTGGGAAGACCTCAGGTATCATTTCATTCAATCCACTTTATAGAGGAAGAAACTGAGGCACGGAACTGGGGAAGCCACTAGCTCAAGGGCACACAACCCATCAAAGGCAAGGCTTAAACCTAGACCTCCTGACCCCTGGTCTGAAACTCACTAACATGCCAATGTCACAGGCACCTCGGGATGCTCAAGGAACGGCAGCTCGCACTGATCACCCCCCCTGGATCCTCAGAGGAGGCTGGGCTGCCAGAGTCTGGGCAAAGTGTATCGTTTCGCCCTCCCCCAACCTCTGCTTCCCCGAGGCGGTCCCGCTGGGTGCCCACTGGTACTCACAGGCTGCCTGAATACTGGCTGCCCCCAAGGAAGCCATACTTGTCCGTCTTGCGCAGGGCCAGCCCGTTTATCTCTGAGTCTGAGCCCATGGAGCTCACATCATCCGCCAAGGACTCCAAGGTCCCAGACATGAGGCTCACGGAGTCCAAGTAACTCAGCGTGTCCGGGGCCTGCCCTCGAGGCCCAGAGATGCCAGGTCCCAGGCTGGACGTGGAGCCCAGGTCTTGAGAGTTTTCAGCAGGCTCCGGAGCTGGGGTCACGGTCACGACAGCTACCGGAGCCTCACAAGTCCCCGAGGGGCCTGCGCCAGGGCCTAAGGGGTCCTCAGGAGCCTGTCCTGCTGATGATGTTGCTGCGGCAGCTCCATGCCCCCCTGTCACTTGTCCTGATGCACTCCGTGCAGTCACTCCTGAGGCCACTGTGGTTCCCGGCTTGGGGGCAAGCGGGGGTTTGGCGGTCAGGGCCCCAGGAGCCGTTCTGGAAGGGGTCCTGGTAGGGGTCCCGGTGGGGGTCCCTGGTCCTGGGGCGGGTGAGGGTCGAGCCTCCTCTGTCCTCGGAGAGTCTGCCCCTGCGGCCAGAGCCCTCGACGTCTCAGCTCCAGCCACGGCCGCGGGCTCTGAGGGTTCCGGGCCGGAGGGGACCTGAGGCTTTGGGGCTTCGGGCGAGGCCTCCAGGGTCAGCACCACCACCGTGCTGCCCGTGACGGCCGGGGCTGGGGCCGGGGCCGGGGCAGAGGTCTGGGCCGACCCCGGGACCCAGGCGGGCCGCGCCTCCCCGGGGGCCACCAGGGTGACGGGGGCCGAAGTGGCCGTAGTCACTGGAGGTCCCGGAGCCACCACCACGACGGGCCCGGCCCGGGAACCCCGGGGCGGCGGCGACGGGGCCGCGGGGGCGCCATGACGGCGCGGCGGGGCCACCAGGGGCGCCGGGCCGGTCTCCATGGCCGCGGGCCGCCCCTCACATCCCCCCGCCGGGGAGGCCGCAGAAGGCGCCGCCCCTCGGGCCTCCCGGCGAGACCAGCCGAGAAAGGGGAAAGGGCGAAGGGCGCGGCTCGGCGCGCGCCGGGGGCGGGGCGGCCGCTGGGCGCACGGAGGCGGGGCAGGGGTCCGGGGGCGCCGCGCGCCGGGGTCTTGCTAGTGCCGTTTCACCCCCTCGCGCGCTCTCGCCGCCGCCCCCTCCCTCCCGCTTGGGGCGAGCCGCCGACCTCGCGCCTGCGCACACGCCGCAGAGCCGGCTCCGCGGCCAGCGTCTTGGTGTTCCACGCCTGCGCGCGGACTGGCCCATCGCGCTCCTTTTTTCTCCCGCCTCGTCAGAGGATTTGGACGAATAGTGGGAGAGAGAGAGCTGGACTTCTGCCAATCGTTGGAACCGTGGGCGGGGCCGGAGGCGAAAAAGGGGTGGCTCATCTGGAAAGAGGAAACGGAGAAGGCGTAGGGCTGTAAGACCAGTCAGAGGACGAAGAAAGGCAGGGGGAGGTGGGACCAAAGAAATAACCAATAGAAACGCAGAAGCCTGAACCTCCTGGCCAATGAATATGACTGAAGAGTGAATGACCGCGGAAGGGCGGAGGAGGAGGCAGGGGCTGTACAAATAAGAGGTGGGGCCTGGCAGCTTCTTGACCAATAGGAACGGTAAAAAGGGAGCCAATGAAAAGGGGAGTAGGTGGTGGTCAAATTAACAGGCAGTGATGTCTCTTTAGGCGGTGACAGACAGCATCCGCAGTCAATAGGAAGAGCTGAGGAATTCTTTAGGTCTCCCAAAATGGTCAGTAAGGAATGACAGCTGGAAGGAGGCAGGGCAAGCTAGAGATTAATTCGCCTCGTCAGCCAATGATCGTGTTCTCCCACTTCGACCACAGGACAGGAAAATAGATAGCTGTCTCAGCCAATGGGAGCATCCAAAGGGCAAAGACGCTGCCAGCAGGCGGTGCCAGCCCAGGGATAGTCGGTGACAACCGGAGACAAGCCCTACAGGAGGGTGACAGCTGGGGACAGTACGGAGAAGGGGCGGGGGCATTAGTGCAGCCCTCAACCAATGAGTGCCGCGCTGCCCTTCTCGAGTCCTTCCCGGGCCCCTATTCTTCGTTTAACTCCTGAGCCCCCAACTCTGGTGTTCTGTGGGACCCTGAGCCCCACCACAGATCCAGTGCCCTAACCCAGTACCCTCAGCCTTTACTCTGTAATTCTCCGATCCCGGCCCCAAACTAACCCCAACACTCCAGGCCCAGGTTGCAATAGCCAGAGCCCCTAGATCCTATAAGCAACCCATCTCTCTGCTTCACCCATTTCCTGCGGGAATCCCAACCTCCAAGTCCCTCTCCTCAGTTCCCATCTATCTGAACTCCTCCCCAGAACCCAGGCTCCAATTCCTCAGACCTTATGCCTCTGAGTACCCCCACCATTTCTTCTAGTGAGGATCTCAAACCCCAAATCCATGAATCCCCAGTACCATGAACTCCCCATATGTGTGTTACTATTCTTTTGGGGATCCGAGGCCCCAGTCCCGTCAACCCCCTCCCCTCAGTGCCACATCCCTCTGTGCTCCTCATGTTCCACTGAGAACCCCGACCTCAATCTCATGAGCGCTTCAGGTTGTCCTTAGATCACAAGCATAAAGACCTGACGTTATGAGCTCCAACCTTCCAACTTCTAAACACCCTCTTCTTTCTCTGACCCCCATAGTCCGATTTCCATATAGCATCCACCATTCTGGAATTCCAGTGAGACCTAGCTCCCGACTTTTCAGTTCCTCCTTGGTTTCTGAGTTCTCAGAGGTCCCTCACTCTCAACTCAGTCCCAAGTCCTGTCAATTCCCATTCAGTGTCTGATCTCCTCCTCACCTTTCCCATCTCCCATTTGACCCAAGCTTCCTGAGCACTCCTCCCATTCCCCTTTTTGGAGTCCTCCTCCTCTCCCAGAACCCAGTAATAAGTGGGCTCCTCCCTGGCCTGGACCCCCATGGTAACCCTATAAGGCGAGGCAGCTGCCGTCTGAGGCAGGGAGGGGCTGGTGTGGGAGGCTAAGGGCAGCTGCTAAGTTTAGGGTGGCTCCTTCTCTCTTCTTAGAGACAACAGGTGGCTGGGCCTCAGTGCCCAGAAAAGAAAATGTCTTAGAGGTATCGGCATGGGCCTGGAGGAGGAGGGAAGGGGGAGGGGGAGGCATCTTCTTCAGGACATCGGGTCCTAGAGGGAGCAGGAGGAGAAGGAGATGGTTGTCCTTGCCAACCTGGGGCTTCCTCAGTCACTATTTTTCCAGACTTCTGCTGCATGGAGGGGACTGGGTCACTGAGGCCCAGAGGGAGAAGAGAGGGTACATTAAAGCTACACAATCAGCCAAGCTGGCTCTTGGCCAGAATGAAGTGAGTAGCCACTGGCCATCAAGGCATCTCACAGAAGGTGACCAGCTGGCTGTCCTCTTAGGGCCTTTGCCTCCCCTCCTGAGTTCCAGCCTCCACACCAGTACCCAGAGAAAATATTCTAGACTCATACTAGATCACATCCTTCTGCATGAAACCTTTCCAAGGTTCCCCAGGGTCTCCATCCTGTGCCTGGCCTTGAAGGCCCCTCAGGGGCTGGTCACCAGCCCCATCACAATTCTGGCAACCTGAATACCTCTGATCTTCCGCTCTCCAGGCCTTTGCTCAGGCCATGCCCTCTGCCCAGCACACCTGCTTCTCCACCTGCACCTGACTCCCTCTAGCCCTCATGAAGCCACTCCCATACTCCTAGACAGGGCTGCCAAGCCCTCCACTTCTGGGCTCGTGACCAGCCCTGGTATGTCGCTTTCTGCATTCATTCCTGTCTCTGTGGCTAGACTGTAAGTTCCAGCAAGGCAGGGATAATTATTAGTTATAATGCAAGTTCTGTGGGATGGGAACTACATCTCCCTTTTAGAGAGGGGAAACCAAGGCCCAGCACAAAACCTGAGACCACAAAGTATCTCACCTCAAAAAATGCCTCTCAGCTTGGCATGGTGGCTCACGCCTGTAATCCCAACACTTTGGGAGGCTGAGATGGGTAGGTCACCTGAGGTCGGAGTTCGAGACCAGCCTGGCCAACATGGTGAAACCCCATCTCTACTAAAAATACAAAAAATTAGATGCCGGGTATGGTGACTCACGCCTGTAATCCCAGCACTTTGGGAGGTGGAGGCAGGTGGATCACGAGGTCAGGAGATCGAGACCATCCTGGCTAACACCGGGAAACCCCGTCTCTACTAAAAATACAAAAAAATTAGGCGGGCATGGTGGCACACGCCTGTAGTCCCAGCTACTCGGGAGGCTGAAGCAGGAGAATCACTTGAACCCGGGAGGCGGAGGTTGCAGTGAGCCAAGATCACACCACTGCACTCCAACCTGGGTAACAGAGCAAGACTCCATCTCAAAAAAAAAAAAAAAAAAAAAAAAATAGCTGGGCGTGGTGGCAGGTGCCTGGAATTCCAGCTACTCAGGAGGCTGAGGCAGAAGTATCGCTTGAACCCAGAAGGTGGTGATTGCAGTAAGCCAAGATCACACCATTGCACTCCAGCCGGGCGACAAGAGCAAGACTCCATCTCAAAAAGAAAAAAAAAAAAATTCCCCTCTCCTTGAAGGGAGGTAGAAGATCCACCTGATCCCTCAGCTTCCACAGACGGCTCTTTCTTACCACCCTCACACACACACTTGACTATGAACTCCATCATGTGGGGGTAGAGGGATTGTGTCTGCCAAAGTGCACCTACAAAGCCCAGCCTAGCACATGGCACACTGTGTGCGTTCAATACATGTTTACTGTGTTTATTTTGTTAATTTAAAATAGAGACAGGGGGCCGGGCATGGTGGCTCACACCTGTAATCCCAGTACTTTGGGAGGCTGAGGCGGATGGATCACAATGTCAGAAGATTGAGACCACCCTAGCCAACATGGTGAATGAAATCCCATCTCTACTAAAAATACAAAAAAAAAAAAAAAAAAATTAGCCTGGTGTCTTGGCACACCTATAATCCCAGCTGCTCAGGAGGCTGAGGCAGGAGAATCACTTGAATCGGGAAGGTGGAGGTTGCAATGAGCCAAGATCACGCTACTGCACTCCAGCCTGGGCGACAGAGCGAGACTCTGTCTAAAAAAAAAAAAAAAAAAATAGAGACAGGGGTCTCACTATGTTGCCCAGGCTGGTCCTGAACTCCTGGCCTCAAGCAATCCTCCCACCTCAGCCTCCCAAAGTGCTGGGATTACAGGTGTGAACCACTGCACCCGGACGTTTACTGGGTTTAAATCTGAGCCCACCCCACTCAGGGGTACAGGATCTGGTTCATGTATCTCCCAGAATGATGCCTTGGGTTGGGTCCTCTCTAAACTCTGGCACATTCCAGCCCCTCTTTGGGAGAAAGAACATCCCTTCTTGCCCAGGCCTTAGTGAGACATGCATCGCAAGACCTGCTCTCCCCCTTCCTCCCCCCTGGGCTCCAGCTGCTGCCGGCCCTCCAAGAAAGGAGAGGCCCTAAGTTGGGCTATTTTGGTATCTGGGGTGGGCACCCGCAGGGCTAAGGTTACCTTGGTATGTTAAGGGCTCCCTGGGGCAGGACTATATAACCCCAGAGGAACTGCCCCATGCTGACTCCCTGCTTCTTTCCAGCTGGAGCCGCTGCCTTGCCCCCGGGGAGACTGAAGACATGGTGAGTGAGAATCCTCCAACCCCTGCCCAGATCCCTTAGACCTCAGGGCAGCCTCACCCTTTGAAAGAAAGTAGCTGGTTTCCAGTCCAACAAAAAGTTAAAAGGATGCTCATCTCTTTCTCAGCATCACTGATGGAAAACAGACCGTGTGATGGCCTTAAGGATCCAATCAATGATAATCCGCCCAGACATTCAACTCACAGGGGCCCAGTCCCTCTCAAAACCTGATCCATTCCTTCCTGTATTCCATCTTCCTAAAGCGCTCTGGCACCAGCCGGGCAAAAACTCCCATCCCACTTTACAAATGAGAAAGTAGAGGCTCAGGCCAGGTGCTGTGGTTCACGCCTGTAATCCCAGCACTTTGGGAGGCCAAGGCGGTTGGATCACTTGAAGCCAGGAGTTTGAGACCAGCCTGGTCAACATGGTGAAACCTGGTCTCTACTAAAAATATAAAAATTAACTCGGAGTGGTGGTGCATGCCTGTAATCCCAGCTACTCAGGCGGCTGGAGCATGAGAATCGCTTGAACCCGGGAGGCAGAGGTTGCGGTGAGCCGAGATCACAGCACTGCACTCCAGCCTGGGTGACAGAGCAAGACTGTCACGAAAAAAGAAAAGAAAGAAAAGAAAAGAGGCTCTAACAGGGCAAATGAGTGACTGAGCCTCAGCAAGTCTAGGGCTCACAGAAGCTAGGTTCAGGGCACGGAGAAGAAGCTTCCACCCATTGTAGGGGATAGAGAGTTGGAGACCCAGGAGCCACAGATGGGAATTTGGGGAATGCAATCAAAGCAAGCCCCCTCAGCAAAGAGGTCCCAAGGAAGGGGAGACTCAGGCCAAAGGGTTGCTTTAGGAACAGGGACTCAAAGAATTCTGAATCTAATTCATTGCTCCCAGAGAGGTGGAGGGACTCATCCATGGGCCCCTTTGTTCAACCCTCACCCTCCAGGCACCCAAGAAGGCCAAGAGAAGGGCAGTAGAGGGTGGAAGTTCCAGCGTCTTCTCCATGTTTGACCAGACTCAGATCCAGGAGTTCAAGGAGGTGAGGGGACAAGGGAAACTGGAAGACTGACCAAAAACAGCCCTGCTGGCCCTCTCCCCCTCCCTCTCCCTGGAATGTGCACCTGTTCAAAGGAGGGGAAAGGTTTAGAATTCCTTTCTCCCCTCCCTGCTTGGGGTGGAAGAGGACAGCTGGCTGGGAGCCAGCATCTGATCTGCCTGGGGTAGGGATGCTGAGGCTGGGCCATGGGGGACCTAACCCTCCCCACCCCGGCCCTCCCTAGGCCTTCACTGTGATTGACCAGAACCGTGATGGTATTATCGACAAGGAGGACCTTCGGGACACCTTCGCAGCCATGGGTGAGCCCCCTACCTCCAGGTGGGAATATTCAAGGCTGCAGAGTCTAGGAAATTCAGTGGCCTTGGGTTCCAGCCCTGTCAGCTCCACCTTGGGCCTCAGTCTACCCAGTTGAAAAATGGATGTGATCATCTGAATTAGTAGGAAGCGCAGGCCTGGCCCCAGGAGGCTGCTCCAGCCCATGCTTCCCCCAACCCCCGCAGGCCGCCTCAATGTGAAGAATGAGGAGTTGGATGCCATGATGAAGGAAGCCAGTGGTCCCATCAACTTCACCGTCTTCCTGACCATGTTCGGGGAAAAGCTCAAGGGTGAGTGGAGTGCCCTGGATCCAAGGCCCCAGCTGCCTTTTCCCAGATCCTTCAGGGACCCATCAGCTTCATGTACCCTCTGTTCCCCCCAGGTGCCGACCCTGAGGATGTGATAACTGGAGCCTTCAAGGTCCTGGACCCTGAGGGAAAGGGCACCATCAAGAAAAAGTTGTAAGCATGGGCTCTCCCACCCTTCCCCGACTCCACCAGCTGCTCCCACACTGAAAGCCTCCTTAAATTCCTACCAAGGCTGGGCCCTATGGCTCAGGCCTATAATCCCAGTGCTTTGGGAGGCGGAGACAGGATTCACTTGAGGACAGGAGTTTGAGATCAGCCTGGGTAACGCAGCATGACCCTTTTTTGAGACAGAGTCTCGCTCTGTCGCCCAGGCTGGAGTGCAGTGGCGCAATCTCGGCTCACTGCAAGCTCCGCCTCCCGGGTTCACGCCATTCTCCTGCCTCAGCCTCCCGAGTAGCTGGGACTACAGGCGCCCGCCACTGCGCCCGGCTAATTTTTTCTATTTTTAGAAGAGACGAGGTTTCACCATGGTCTCGATCTCCTGACCTTGTGATCCGCCCGCCTCGGCCTCCCAAAGTGCTGGGATTACAGGCGTGAGCCACCGCGCCCGGCCGCATGACCCTGTTTCTAAACAATTAACTAAAAAATTCGCGGGCTGGCCAGGAGCAGTGGCTCATGCCTGTAATCCCAGCACTTTGGGAGGCCAAGGAGGGCGGATCACGTGAGGTCAGGAGTTCAAGACCAGCCTAGCCAACATGGCGAAACCCCGTTTCCACTAAAAATACAAAAATTAGCTGGGCGTGGTGGCGGGCGCCTGCAGTCCCAGCTACTCGGGAGACTGAGACATGAGAATCGCTTGAACCCTGGAGCCAGAGGTTGCAGTGAGCCGAGATCATACCACTGCCCTCCAACCTGGGCAACAATAGCAAAACTCCGTCTCAAAAAAAAAAAAAAAAAAAAAAAAAATCGCGGGCGTGGTGGCAAACACCTATAGTCGCAGCTACGCTAGAGGCTGAGGCAGGAAGATCCCTTGAGTCCAGGAGTTCCAGGTTGCAGTGAGCTATGATCAAACCACTTCATTCCTGCCTGGGCATCAGGGCGAGTCCCTGTCTCAAAACGAACAAAAAAAACCCAAAAAATTCCTACGAAGGGTTAGTCACTGTCAGAGGTCAGGGAGTAGTTAAGATTGTGGTAATGGGCGGTAAGACTGCATTTTCATAGCAAATGTGAGCGGAGAGGGCAAAAGCGAGCGTCTGGGAGGCCAATGAAGGAAGTAGAGTGACCTGGGTTTTTGGGGGAGGCTGGGGCTGGCAAAGGGGATGAGGTGCGAGGGAGTGGAAAGGAACCAGGAACCCAATCGCAACTCCCCGTGTATCACCTCTCTCCAGCCTGGAGGAGCTGCTGACCACGCAGTGTGACCGCTTCACCCCGGAGGAGGTGAGTGGGCCCCGGGGCGGGGCCGGAGCAGCAAAGGGGCTGGGGGAGGAGAGCCTAACGGCCGGTTCCAGACGCCCCTGCGTGTTTCCCCAGATCAAGAACATGTGGGCGGCCTTCCCCCCCGACGTGGGCGGCAACGTCGACTACAAAAACATCTGCTACGTCATTACGCACGGCGACGCCAAGGACCAGGAGTAGGGGCCTCCGCGGGCCTCCGCTGGCCGACTGTTTCGTTCGGCCCGACCCCCACCCCGGTTCCCAATAAAATTTAACTGGTCTTTGTTCTTATGGGGGCGCCTTCAGAGTGTTTGTGCGAGGGCCTCAGGTGGGAGCGCCCCACATAGGGATGGATGCGGCCTGGAGGCCTGCGGGGGACGGCCCCACAATCTACGCCCGCCTCCTTTTTCCGCAAGGAAGGAGAAGGCTCGCGTGGCCGCGGGAAGCTCAGTTTTTATTGAAGACAGTCTGGGAGAAGAGTGGGGGACCCCGGAAGACAGTGGGGCGGTCGGAGACTGGGCCGCAGGCTCCGGCCGGGAAGTGGGTGGTGTCTGGGTGGGCGGGACCAGCGCCGGGGCGGGGCTACGGGCCCGGGCTGGTAGAACCTCCCCCTAGCCCGCGCGAGGGCGGCACCCACGGGGTTCCAGGGGGCGCTGGGCAGTGTGGGGCGCGGGGATTGGACAAGAGGCCGACTGAAGGCGGAGCCGAGGTAAGGCCGGGTGGGGCGTGGCCTCAAAGGGTGTCTGACTGCTCGCCCTGGGCCTGGCTCTGCTGCATCTGGGCCTGCATCTTCTCTAGCATCTCTTGCATGCGGCGCAGCTGTGCAGGGCGAGATTGCAGGTGGTGACCTGGCGAGGCCAGCGAGGGACCTGGGGCCTCTGTCGGGGGGAAGCGAGGTGCATGCTCACCTCTTCGTCTTTCTCGCGGATCAGCTTCTCGGTGTCCGCCAGAGGCAGCATGGGCAGCGGGATCTCCGTGGCGCTCTGGCGGGAAAGCTTACTGCGGGACAGTGGGAAGGGGACAGGAATCAGGAGCAGGGCCTGAGGTTGTGGGTGAGGCCCAGGAGACAGGGCCTGGGGCGAGGTTGGGGTCTAGGAGGCGGAGCCAGGTTCCTGAGGTTAGGGCCGGAGGCAAAGCCGGTGGGGAGACAGGGAGAGGGTGAGACGGTGGGAGGGAGAGAGGGAAGAAGGGAGACAGGGAGGGAGGGAGAGAGAGGTCTGAGTGGTGAAGGCGGACTCACAGGTGGTGGGGACGGGGCCTCAGGGCAGGGTCTTGGGTGAGGCGGGACCTTGGAGGCTCCAAGACTGTCGGCCCCGGGTCTCACCTGCGGCTGGCTCGATCGCGAGCCCCAGGCCGGGCCAGGCTCTGTAGGCAGCGGGCCCGGTAGCCCTCGTAGAGCAGATCGTGCGTCACCTCTTTCAGGTCCTGCAGGTGTGTCTGCACCAGCATCCGTCGCAGGTTCAGGAAATCGCAGTGATGTGGGTTCTCCACTGGGGGGGGGGGGCGGCGCGGACCAGCGAACGTCAGGGAGTTTCGGGTCCCACCCACCCGTAGGGTCGGGTCAACAGGGAAGTCCTGCTGCCACTCTAGCGGAGGGTCCGCGGTCTGCAGCCCATGGAAAGGAGAACCCCTTTCCTCCTAGGATCCCCTGGGACCAAAGCCCACCCCAACTTCACATGTTGAGTGCGCCTGACCCAGAGGCCCCGGGATCCTTGCTGGCCTTAGGAACCCTGCCTGGCCTCACTCACCCTCCACGGTCCCCCAGGAGTAGCGGCGTCCCCTCACCGGTCGGTTCCCGCCATCCCTCACCACCTCACATGAACCCACGACTGCAAAAGGGATGCTTTCCTGGAGGGCAGGGGGCAGGGGGCAGGGGGCAGGGGTCACCGCTGGCCCACATGGCAGAAACTTTCTCTTTCCCAGCTTCAATCTCCACACCCACCTCCTCTGCTTCCTGCCCCTTCCTCTTTTTTTTTTTTTTTTTTAAGACAGGGTCTCGCTCCATTGCCCAGGCTGGAGTGTTCAAGTGATTCTCCTGCCTCAGCCTCCCGAGTGGCTGGAATTACAGGCGCCCGGTACCACACCTGGCTAATTTTTGTGTTTTTAGTAGAGGCGGGCTCTCGCCATGTTGCCCAGGCTGGTCTCGAACTCCTGACCTCAGGGGATCCACCTGCCTCAGCCTCCCAAAGTGCTGGGATTACAGACGTGAGCCACCGTGCCCAGCCTGCCTTCCTTCTTTGTCTCCCACACCTTCATCTCTGCATCCTGCCTCTTGAAGTCTTCATCTTCGTCAGAGTCACATTCAGGGAACTGGTAGATGTGGATCTCCTCCTCCTTCAACTGATCCCGGATCTCAGGGGAAACAGACACAGAGACAGTGTGAAACAGGCCACAATGACAGACATTGCATGACCAGAGACAGGGAGACACAGAGATACTGGGTGGTCAGAGACAGAAAGACATGAAGGAGAGAGATGGGGAGAGATGGATGTACAGGAAGACAAAAACAAAATCTCAGACATAGATGGTGAGAAACACAAGATTCTAAGATGGGGCAGACATTAAGAGACCAGGAGAAGCGTGGGCAATATAGCTGGATCCCATCTCTACAAAAAATATATATATTTTTTGAAACAAGGTTTCACTCTATCACCCAGGGTGGAGTCCAGTGGCTCCATCTTGGTTCACTGCAGCCTCAACCTCACAGGCTCAGGTGATCCTCCCATCTCAGCCTCCTGAATAGCTGGGACTACAACTGCACACCACCACACCTGGCTAATTTTTATATTTTTTGTAGAGATGGGGTTTTGCCACGTTGCCCTGGCTTGTCTTAAACTCTTCAGCTCGAGTAATCCACTGACCTCAGCCTCCCAAAGTGCTGGGATTACAGGTGTCTGCCACCACGCCCAGCCAAAAAAGTTAGCCGGGCATGGTGGTGCTCATCTGTAGTCCCTGCTATTCAATAGGCTGAGGCAGGAGGATCACTTGAGCCTACAAATTCGAGGCTGCAGTGAGCTATGATCTTGCCACTGTACTCAGTCTGGGCCACAGAGTGAGACTCTATCAAAAAAAAAAAAAAAAAGAGAGAGGCTGAGAGATATATAAGCAGAAACAGTGGGAAAGGGCTCTGAAGACACGGTGTGGGGGCCAGAGGGAAATCACCATGTTCTTATGTCTATGCTCCTGCCCTCAAATAGGCCTTAGCCAGGCATCTAGCCCAGGGGCTGCATATCTAGCCTATTTTGAACCTTCAGAGACATGGCTACGCTGGCTAGCAGCTTACCACCTACATTCCTCAGAAGCTTCTCCTACAATCTAGCCTGAGGCACTATGCTCCAAAAAGGCCACTTTAAGATCAAAGAAGTCTAAGCTGAAATCAGGTTTGGCCTCACTTGGGGTCAAAGGCCAGAGGTCATCACTCACACCTTCTGCTTGAGAGCCTGGGTTTCCTGGGGCATCAGGGCATCCGCTTTGCCAATGACTGGGATGATGTTGACTTTCTCGTGTACTGCCCGAAGGAAGGCCACATCTAGGGGCCGGAGCCTGCACCCAGGCATTGGTCAGTGCCCAGCCTCAGGGGACAGAGACCCCCCAGCCCTCCCTAAATGCCCCAGCCCCCAGGATGCCCCCACCAGACCCCCGGCCAAAGGGTGAGATGAAGTAGAGGCAGCAATGGACGCGGGAGTCCTGGATGTTCTTCCGGTTTAGGCCACTCTCATCCCTAAGGTACTGCTCAAACTGCTCCTCGATGAATTTCACCACGGGAAGCCAGCTGGGTGTGGGAAGAGGATGTGAGGTCAGAGATCAAAGGCCAGAGGGCAGGGGGTGAGGCTAGCCAGGACTGTGGGAGTAAAACATCATTTCTTTGGCTCCCTCCAAAGACATTAAAGGGAACTAGGCGAGTCATCAAGAAGCACAGAGACCCAGTGACCCTCTGAAACAGACACAACCTTTTGGAATAGGGAGCCAGCACAAACCAGCCCTGTAACTGACCCGTTGGTCTTCAGGGAGTCGCCACTGTGAGAGGCTGAGCCTCTGTCCCCTTCCCTCTTCCTCACCAGTCAGAGCAGTCCACTGAGTCCCCAAAGCCAGGCGTGTCCACAAGGGTTAGCTTCACTTTCACACCCCCTTCCTCGATCTCCACACCCCTGCGCTCAATGGCCAGGGTCTGTGTCAAGCGAGCTGTGGGACGGGGGAGAGGTCAGGGATCCAGGGAGGCTCTGAGGCAAGATTAATTTCCTTTGTCAATATCACAGTTGCCTGCACCCATTTTCCAGGGGAAGAAAGTCTCAGAAAAAAGTAGTCAACTATCTGAGTCCCCAGATGGAAAAGACTAGGGTGTAACCTGGGCACAGGGGCCACTGCCTGGAGAGGGTGGGGAGGGTCTTACCACTGGCCTCTGGCACCTGGCGATCCTCATAGAGGTTGGTGAGGAAGAGGCTGTTGATGAGGGTGGATTTCCCTAGGCCTGACTCCCCTGTGGACAGAACAGGCCCAGCTGGTCAGGGGAGGGGACAGCCAGGGTCTCCTAAGGGCATCCTCTCTGCAGTTCCCTCTCCAAAACCCCCCAGACCTGCCACCATTAGTGTGAAGTCAAACCCCTTCTTGACAGACTTGCGGTGCAGCTGGTTGGGGAGGGCAGCAAAACCCACGTACTCCTTGTCCTGTAGATGGGGGTGGACAATATGAGGCTGCTGGCAACGGGAAGCAGGGTCCCCAGGATAACTTGAGTTCCTGGGCTAGAAAGAGTCAGTGGGGTCTGGGGACCCTAGGCATAGGGGGCTGGGGGCCGAGATACCTGGGTTTCTGGGCATAAGGACTCACCATGACTCCGCCAGCCATCACTGCACCTGCTGTCTCTCCCCGCTTCCTCTGGTGGGGCAGGAAGCTGAGTGCGGTTAACGAGGGGGCGGGCAGAAGAGGCAGCTGAGATGCTCAAACTGGCCCAGTCCCAGAGAGGTGGGGAAGGCCAAGGCCAAGAATACCTGGGGTTATCACCTCCTGGACCCCTTTGCCCATCACCCCTCTATGCACCTTCAACCCCTCCATCCTTCACACATCTGGATTCCAAGTCCCACTGTAACTCCATTATCGTGGTGAGACATGGGGTATGTGCAGAGAGGAAGGAAGCGGCTCCCTTTGTTAGCAAGTGAGATGAAGGTTTTGATGAGCTGATTAAAAAACAGTTCCCAGGACAGGCAAGGTGGCTCACGCCTGTAATCTCGGCACTTTGGGAGGCAGAGGAGGGAGGACTGCTTGAGCCAAGGAGCTCAAGACCAGCCTGGGCAACAGAGGGATGTGCCCCTCTACCATCTCTACAAAAACTTTAAAAATTAGCCAGGCATGATGGTACAATCCTGTAGTCCCAGCTACTGGGGAGGCTGAGGTGGGAGGACTGCATGAGCCCAGGAGATCAAGACTGCAGTGAGCTGTGATCACACCACTACACTCCAGCCTGAGCAACACAGCAAGACCCTGTTTCAAAAAAAGAAAAATAAAAAAGCCGGGCGCGGTGGCTCACGCCTGTAATCCCTGCACTTTGGGAGGCCGAGGCGGGCGGATCACGAGGTCAGGAGATCAAGACCATCCTGGCTAACACGGTGAAACCCCGTCTCTACTAAAATACAAAAAAATTAGCCGGGCGCAGTGGCGGGTGCCTGTAGTCCCAGCTACTCGGGAGGCTGAGGCAGGAGAATGGCGCTAACCCGGGAGGCGGAGCTTGCAGTGAGCCGAGATCGAGCCACTGCACTTCAGCCTGGGTGACAGAGTGAAGACTCCGCCTCAAAAAAAAAAAAAAAAAAAAAAAGAAAAAGAAAAAAATTCTCATGGTTTAAGTGGACCAGAAGCCATGATGGGATTGGGAGTGGGTAAGGCCATCCATTTTCCAGCTAAGACAATGGATTCATAAAAGGACTCCAGGTCTTTGGAAACCACTGCCAGAGAGATTTTCCTTCAGAATCCTGGCCAAGGAACTCCGCTGGCCGAAATCCTTTAGGAACTCCCCAGTAACTCAGAGTCAAGTCTGAATTCTGGCCTGACTGCCAAAGCCTCCTTCAGCTGGCCTCATCACCCCATCTCTCACTCTTCCAAACATCCTTGGCTCTCTACCCACATTGAGCTTTTCCTTTTTCCGAATCAGTTAAACTCTTCCTCATCCTTCAAGTGTTTCTTTCTAAGGGCTCTGCCTCTATGCAATCTCCCCACCTACCATAGGCAGGGTCATTGTTCCTTCTTCAGATTTCCAGCACCAGGCTGGGCATGGTGGCTCATGCCTGTAATCCCAGCTCTTTGGGAGGCTGAGGTGGGTGGATCACTTGAGGTCAGGAGTTCAAGACCAGCCTGGCCAACATGGCAAGACCCTGTCTAGCAAAATACAAAAATTAGCAAGGCGTGGTGGTGTGTGCCTATAATTCCAGCTACTTGGGAATCTGAGGCAAGAAAATTGCTCGAACCCAGGACATGGAGGTTGCAGTGAGCCGAGATTGCACCGCTACACTCCATCCTGGACAACAGAGCAAGACCCTATCTCAAACAAACAAGCAAACAAATCTACCCCAGGGCGGGTACGGTGGTTCACACCTGTTAGCCCGGCACTTTGGGAGGCCGAGTCAGGCAGATCACGAGGTCAAGAGATCGTGACCATCCTGGCCAACATGGTGAAACTCCACCTCTACTAAAAATACAAACAATTAGCTGGGCATGGTGGCGTGTGCCTGTAGTCCCAGCTACTCAGGAGGCTAAGGCAGGAGAATTGCTTGAACCCAGGAGGTGGAGGTTGCAGTGAGCCAAGATCACGCCACTGCACTCCAGCCTGGTTACAGAGCAAGACTCCATCTCCAAAAACAAAAACAAACAAACAAAAATGCCACTTAATACCATCTAGGGACTGTTAAGAATCTGGAAAGGGTGGCTGGGCGCAGTGGCTCACACCTGTAATTCCAGCACTTTGGGAGGCCTGGGCAGGCGGATCACTTGAGTTCAGGAGTTGGAGACCAGCCTGGCCGACATGGTGAAACCCCTGTCTCTACTAAGAATACAAAAATTGGCCGGGCGCGGTGGCTCAAGCCTGTAATCCCAGCACTTTGGGAGGCCGAGACGGGCGGATCACGAGGTCAGGAGATCGAGACCATCCTGGCTAACACAGTGAAACCCCGTCTCTACTAAAAAAAATACAAAAAACTAGCCGGGCGAGGTGGCGGGCGCCTGTAGTCCCAGCTACTTGGGAGGCTGAGGCAGGAGAATGGCGCAAACCTGGGAGGCGGAGCTTGCAGTGAGCTGAGATCCGGCTACCGCACTCCAGTCTGGGCGACAAAGCGAGACTCCGTCTCAAAAAAAAAAAAAAAGAATACAAAAATTAGCCAGGTGTGGTGGTGCGTGCCTGTAATCACAGCTACTAGGGAGGCTGAGGCAGGAGAATTGCTAGAACCTGAGAGGCGTAGGTTGCAGTGAGCCAAGATCCTGCCACTGCACTCCAGCCTGGGCGACAGGGCAAGACTCCATCTCAAAAAAATAAATAAATAGGCCGGGCGTGGTGGCTCATGCCTGTAATCCCAGCACTTTGGGAGGCCAAGTCGGGCAGATCACCTGTGGTCAGGAGTTCAAGACCAGCCTGACCGACATGGAGAAACCCTGACTCTACTAAAAATACAAAATTAGTCGGGCGTGGTGGCGCATGCCTGTAATCCCAGCTACATGGGAGCTGAAGCAGGAGAATCACTTGAACCTGGGAGGTGGAGGTCGCAATGAGCCGAGATCGTGCCATTGCACTCCAATCTGGGTGACAAGAGCAAAACTCTCTCTCAAATAATAAATAAATAAATAAATAAATAAATAAATAAATAAATAAGTAAGCAAAGGGCAGGGATCATGTTACCTCTCAGCACTCCACCACCGGCCTTCCTCCTGCATCTCTCACCAGGCTGAGCATCTCTATGGTCTTAGTTAAAATTCTGAACTCAGCAGGACATGGTGGTTCACACCTGTAATCCCAGGATTTGGGGAGGCCAAGGCAGGCAGATCAGGAGGTCAGGAGATCAAGACCATCCTGGCCAACATGGTGAAACCCCGTTTCTACTAAAATACAAAAATTAGCTGGGTGTGGTGGCACATGCCTGTAATCCCAGCTACTCGGGAGACTGAGACACAAGAATCGCTTGAACCCAGGAGGCGCAGGTTGCAGTGAGCCAAGATCGCACCACTGCACTCCAGCCTGGCGACAGAGCAAGACTCTGTCTCAAAAAAAAAAAAAAAAAAAAATCTGAACTCTTCCTACCCTCACTCCCCGCAAGTGTTTCCAGTGAGTTTCCAATTCCCGCCTATCCTTCAGAAAAATTGGTCCCCTTTTCTCCACACTCTCCATGCCATTAACCTGCTTTGGGTTCAGATCCTGATCAACGCTTCCCTGAGTTATTCAACAGCCTTTGACAGAATAACATGTTTAAAGGAAAAAAAAAAAAAAAGTTGGGCCGGGCGCGGTGGCTCACGCCTGTAATCCCAGCACTTTGGGAGGCCGATCATGAGGCGGATAATGAGGTCAGGAGATCGACACCATCCTGGCTAACACGATGAAACCCCGTCTCTACTAAAAATACAAAAAATTAGCCGGGCGTGGTGGCGGGTGCCTGTAGTCCCAGCTACTCGGGAGGCTGAGGCAGGAGAATGGCATGAACCCAGGAGGCGGAGCTTGCAGGGAGCCGAGATTGCACCACTTCACTCCAGCCTGGGTGACAGAACGAGACTCTGTCTGAAAAAAAAAAAAGTTGGGCGTGATGGCTCATACCTGTAATCCCAGTGCTTTGGGAGGCTGAGGTGGGAGGACTGCTTGAGGCTAGCAGTTCAAGAGCAGTCTGGTCAACATAGCAAGACCCGATCCGTATTAAAAAAATAAATAAAAAATGTAGGCCAGACAGTGGCTCACGTCTGTAATCTCTTTTTATTTATTTTTGAGACAAGGTCTCGCTCTGTCACCCATGCTTTAGTGTATGACACCACAATGACTCATTGCAGCCTCAAACTCCTGGGCTCAAGTGATCCTCCTGCCTCAGCCTCCCAACTAGCTGGGACAACAGTTGTGCACCACGATGCCCAGCTAATTTTTTTTTTTTTTTTTTTTAAATTTGTAAAGACAGGATCTCACTGTGTTGCTTAGGCTGGTCTCAAACTCCTGGCCTCAAGTGATCCTCCCACCTCAGCCTCCCAAGGTGCTGGGATTATAAGTATGAGCCACTGCACCTGGCCTAATTTTTTTTTTTTAATTGATACAGAGTCTTGCTCTGTCGCCCAGGCTGGAGTGCAGTGGCACCATCTCAGCTCACTGCAAGCTCTGCCTCCCGGCTTCATGCCATTCTCCTGCCTCAACCTCCTGAGTAGCTGGGACTACAGACGCCCGCCACCATGCCTGGCTAATTTTTTTGCATTTTTAGTAGAGACGGGGTTTCACTGTGTTAGCCAGGATGGTCTCGATCTCCTGACCTCGTGATCCACCCGCCTCGGCCTCTCGAAGTGCTGGGATTACAGGCGTGAGCCACCGCGCCCAGCCTTTTTTTTTCCTTCTTTTTAATTTATTTTTAAGACAGAGTTTCGGTGGGGCACGATGACTCACTCTTGTAATCCCAGCACTTTGGGAGGCCGAGGCGGGCGGTTCATCTGAGGTTGGGAGTTCGAGACCAGCCTAGCCAACATGTTGAAACACTGTCTCTACTAAAAATACAAAAGTTAGCCAGGCACGGTGGCACATGCCTATAATCCCAGCTACTTGGGAGGCTGAGGCAGGAGAATCTCTTGAACCTGGGAGGCGGAGGTTGCACTGAGAAGAGATCAGCCATCGCACTCTAGCCTGGGGGACAAGAGTGAGACTTTGTCTCCAAAACAAAACAAAAGACAGAGTTTCACTTTTGTCACCCAGGCTGGAGTACGATGGCGCGATCTCAACTCACTTCAACCTCCACCTTCTGGGTTCAAGCGATTCTCCTGCCTCAGCCTCCCAACTAGCTGGGATTACAGGCGCCTGCCACCATACCTGACTAGTTTTTGTATTTTTAGTAGACTCAGGGTTTCACCATGTTGTTCAGGCTGATCTCGAACTCCTGACCTCAGGTGCTCTGCCCGCC